TTGTGCTTTAAGGAGTCTTGTTGAGCGAGTAGATTACTAAACCAACATGATGGAGATTTGGGCCTTCTTTTTCTTCTAGTAGGTGCAAGGTCTCCAGTAAAATGCCTAGGTCCTTGATCCACTTTGATTTGATTTCTGTGCAGGGTGTGAGAGAGGAGTTTAATTTAATTTTATTACATATGAATTTCCAGTTCTCCCAGTACCATTTGTTGAAGAGGCTGTCTTTTCTCCAATGTATGTTTATGGTGCCTTTGTCTAGTATGAGATTATGTATTTATGTGGGTTTGTCTCTGTGCCTTCTATTCTGTACCATGGGTCCTCATGTCTGTGTTGGTGCCACTACCATGCTGTTTTTGTTACTATAGGGTACAACTCTTATCCTAGTGTTGTCTAAATAGTTAAAGAAATATTTAGGCTTCGAGAACTTCAAAGGAAATTTGGAGTGACACACTGAGTTTCCCGGACTGAAACACTAATTCATGAAGCAAGATTATATATTTTTTAAGATTTGCCTAAATTGTAAGTAACAGACTTCAAGAAGCTTAATCCATTGGTGTTGGTATGGGTAGGACTGGCATATCCTTGTCTTGATGGTCATTGTCATCAGCTCTTGGAAAGCTTTTCAATCATTATGTGTCTTAGATTTCTTGTATGATTATTTGGAGCGATAATCATACATCTTCTAAGGCCTAATCTGAGGGAATATGGCCTAGTTGAATTGAGCTATTGGGGTAGGATTGGCAGAGAGCTAATGCTGAACAAACGGCCTTTACTGTGAAAAATTAAATGTGCTACAAATTTTTTCTGTTGGACACATGATAGATGAAATAATATTTTCATTTTTGTGAGTAGTATACACATGATAACCACATTCTCATTACATGTTCAGAATCTCCTCCAACATTGTCTCCCGGTGCCCAGAGGTATCCATGCCAACGAACTTTATATTTATCAATCACCTTGCTGTTCTTTGTGGCTTTGCCACTTGAGATGGTACTACCAAACAATTCACAATTTAGTGTTACATGTTTTGGACACTGTAAGGACAGAACTGCATCATGTACATATTCTACCACTTGCTTTCCCCCTTTTCAATATCATAGTTGGGACATTTGTGCAGGTTGATCTGTGTAGATGTAATTCATTCCTTCTTACTCCTGTGGAGGTTCTCCTTGTATGAATATTCTGTAGTTTATTTAGGGTCTGGATAAGAGAAGTCTGGGTTGCTTCCAGTGGTTTTTCTCTCTCTTGTTTATTTCACTTTGGTTTTTTTGCTGTCGCAGTCAAGTCTATGTATGGCTCCGGGTCCACATTTGTAAAAACAGAGCATGTGGTGGCACATGAATTTTGGGTTTGGGTACACGATGTGCTTCTGAGTTTTACTAGACGTTTCCACATTGCTCCCCACCAGCACTGTCTATGCATTCCTGCTGAGCAGCAATCTCTCCAGTGCTTCATATTGCACAACTTTTAAATTTGTGCCAACTGTGTGGGTGTAGAATTGTATCTCATTGCGGTTTTCATTTGCATTTCCCAGATTTTTAATGATCTCTTACATTTTTAAAAATGTTTACTGAATGTTTGTTTTTCCTTCTGTGAAGGAACTGTTAACATCTTTTGTCCATTTTTTTTTCCTGAAGTCTTTTTGGTTTTTTAATTGAAATTTCAAAATATAATTATTGATATGTCAATTTCTTGCAGTTGTATCAGTTTTTTGCTTCATGTATTTTGAAATTCTCTGTCCTTTTGGTTAATTTACCCTCTTGAAGTTATGAAAAGAATTTATTCCTGGAGATATTTTGTCCTAAAATCTACATTGATATTTACGTGGCTAGTCTAGTTTTCCAAGCTACTGATAGGTTTACTTTTTTTTCCATCTTGTCACTTTAATCTTCCTGTGTCTTTCTACTTAAATGTCTTGTAGGTAATATATAATTGAGCCTTGCATTTGTATTCAATCTGATAATTGCTGCCTTTCACTTGGGTTGTTTAGACTTGCTTCCATTCAATGATATTATTGACGTGGTCAGGTTTAAATTGTAACATCTTGCTATTTGTTTTTTACTTGGCTCGTCTGTCTTTTATTCTCTTTTCTGACTTTCTCAGATTATGTTTTATGATTCCATTACATACTCTTTGCTGGCTTATTAGCTATAATTCCTTGTTTTGTTATCCCAGTGTTTCCTTCAGAAATTTATAGCATACATCTTTTAACCTATCATTGTCAAGTGATATCGTACCACTTCACACACAACCTAAGACTCTTGACAACAATCTACGTCTCTTTCTCCTTTTCTAGGCTTTATGCTAGTGTTGATGTACCATTCATTCCTATGCACGTGAGAACCCTTATCCCCCATTCTCAGGACAAAAGCCTGCACCTCTACCTGCTCATGCTGCTAAAGCACGCTTTCATTTTGTTTTCTGTATTACCAAACTTCCTGTTGGATTAATGATTCCCAAAAAATGTATTCCTTTATTTCACCCAGGATTAATACTTGTTTTGAGGATGGCTCAGAGTACAGGATTAACCCGGAAATGGCAGTCTTGTGCATCATAAACAACTATCATACTTTAGGATGTGGGGATAATTGGAATTAGAGAAAATTGCTAAAAAAACAAATGAGTTATTAATATTATTCATTCAGCAATATTTATGCTGAAGTACTCTGAGTGCTGGAAGGGATATATGCTTATCAAAATATCAATTATAGTGGTTTATTTTCAATTCAAAGCTCAGTTTCTCATTGTAATAATGTTTAGACATGTTTTGTTTAATAAGCGTCTGTGGAGAACAAGTTAGTCCACATAAGTACGTTTTCCTGCTAAGTAATATTTATTTCTTAAAATAGTCAAAACTGGCTTTCATCAAGTTGAGGGACTCTTTCTAACATAGATAGACTATGTTTTGCACTTCTGAGGAGTATGGCATCAGTTGGCTCTTTCTTCATTGCTTGAGTTTTATTACAAAGAGCAGCATGATCATCACGTGGAAGGACTTGAACTTGTAAGATCTGTATACAAATCTTGGCACTATTACTACCCAACAGTGTGCTCTTAGGCGAGTTACATATGAGCAATATGGTGAAGCAGCTTATGGTGGCTCATGAGAGGCTATTGTTAAGTTTCCTGCACTTTAATGAGCTGATTCTTAAACACAGTAATTTAAAAAAATTAAACAATATAGATGCATAAATTAAAAAATTAAATTAAAAACTAAGTTAATCCAGGTGTAGTGGTGCATACCTGCAATTCTAGTAGGCTGAGGCAGGGGGATCTCAAATTCAAGACCAGCCTAGGCAACTTAGTGAGACACTATCTTAAAATACAAAAGTGCTGGGGATGTAGCTCAGTGGTAGCACACCCTTTCCCTCCTTGGGTTCATTCCAAATAACCCAAACCAAAAGCTACTCCTCATCTTTCTGCAACTCTGCCTTTGGTTCTATCACATTGGTTGTTGGAACTTGGCCATGGCTGCCAATTATACCACAGATATCGGCAAATGCTGAAAGTCAGCGTTTGATTTATTATTTTGTGGTCAGGATCTGAGAAAGCATCAACATTTGTGATGGTTTAGATGTGAAATGTCCCCCAAAATCTCATTCATGAGACAATGCAGGAAGGTTCAGGGTGAAATGATTAGATGATGAGCTTTGTAACCACTGGCAGGTAACTGTAGGCAGGTAGCATGCGGCTGGAAGAAGTAGGTCACTAGGTTGTGCCCTTAAGGTTTATATTTTGTCCCGGGTGAGTAGAACTCTCCCTGCTTTCTGATGGCCATGTCCTGAGCTGCTTTCCACTGCCATACTCTTCTGCTTTGATATTCTGTCTCAAATTGGAGCTAGAGGAATGGAGTCAGCTGTCTATAGACTGAGACCTCTGAAACCCTGAGCACTAAATAAACTTTTCCTTCTCTAAAATTGTTCTTGTCAGGTCTTTTGGTCACAGTGGCAAAAAAAAAAAAATTGACTAAAACAAAAGTGCAGATTAAACTTGTGTGGCTGTTGCATTGTGAGTAACACAAAAACTGAGGAAATATTCTTTCAGAATTTGAAAATTGTTATATGATTTAGTAAAGAAGTGGCTCACACCACTGGTGAACAAGTCAAGTTCTGGTACATCTTCGTTATTTCCCTTTCAGATGAATTTCAAATACCAATGGTTGTATTTTAAGCAAAAATATCAACCAACTGTCATGTATAAACTACATGTTTATTAGTTTGCAACTGCACAGTGACCACAGATGTAAAAATTAAAAGACCATTCTATGAAAATCAATTGACTACATGGAACTTACAGCAAGGAACATTGCATGTTTCATTATTTATAAAATGTGTCTATCCTTTAGTAAGATTGACAGTAAATACATCTACATGTCTATGCGTTTTTTTTAACATATAGCCAGTAGTTAAATATTTACTAGCATACCACTGCTTAAATTCTCTGAGATTAAGTGCCCTCATTTATTAAATCAATTATTCAAAACTGTGAACACCATACTTGAAAAAATTATATTTTCATGTTTGTATCTGTCTCATTCTGGAAAGTACAATATGTTTTAACTAGTCCAGAGTTCTTTGTATAGATCTTAGTATCTTTCCTTGAGATCAGTGCTCATTTTGCTTTTATTAGAGCTCCCCCTTTTAGCAGCTTCTCCTGTCTCCTCATGGTTCTCACCCACAGATGCTGCTGCTACTACTACTATTACCACCACCACCACCACCACCACCACTACTACTACTACTACTACTACTATTTTTGTATCCTCCCCCTCCTCTTCCCCTCCTCCTCTTCTTCCTCCTCCTTCTCCTCCTCTATGGATTGGACCCAGAGGTACTCTTCTACTGAACTATATCCCCATCCTTTTCACTTTATTTTGAGACAGAGTCTCTCTGGGTTTCCCAGTCGGGCCTTGAACTTGAGCGCTTCCTGCCTCAGCCTCCCAGGTAGCTGAGATTATCTGATCCTGTTGGAACTGTGCATGAAATATGAGTACCGAGATGCTCCTTGAGGACCCGATGATGGCTTTTGTTCACTCCAGCCGTAAACTCTTCACTTATATCACATCAGGATGGGATAGTCTAGGCTTATAAAAAGGATTGTGGATAATCAGTCAACAGTCTCATGTGCCTTCCACCTTGTCTCAGGAATGAAACATGGAAGATACCACTGAATACCACTTGTGCTCTTCCTGGTTCCTCATGCCCCATTTTTTCCCTGAGGACAACCCCTAACCTGAGTTTTTCAGTCCCAGGAATTTGCTGTACTTTGGCTTCCTACGTATATGCTCGGAAAATACATAGGTTACTTTATATTTCCTCAGACATAAAAACATGATTAAAATAATGCATATATTCTTTTAAAATAAATGAATAGACTATATTTTGGGTCAGTTTTGGACTCTACCTCACAATTAAGTGAATGCCCTTCCCTGTTTTCTGTAAAGGTAAGGGCCATGACACTGGTTGTTTTACAATTGCCTCTATGTAAGATCCCCAGGAACCGCAGGCACAATGTAGTTCACCCTGGCATCTCTTGTACTAGGCATAGTGCTTGATACAAAACATACATGGGATTAATGGAAGTACAAATGATGAATTTCAGATACCAATATCATATCAACAGTGAAAATGAGTGACTTCCCACAGATAAGAGACTGGACCATTATAGGCTCCACTGTCAGATAAGAGGAGGACAGGGTGTTCATTAGGTTTCTTTGTTACTGTGACAAAATACCTGAGAAAATCAACCTAAAGGAGGAAAAATTTAGTTTGGTTCATGGTTTCCGAAATTTCAGTCCATGTTCACTTTAGCCTGTTGCATTGGACATGGAGTGTGTAGAGGAGCATAGGAGTTCACTTCAAGGCATTCAGGAAGCAGAAAGAGAGAGGAAGAAATGGGAGGAGGAGAGGGAGAGAGAGAGAGAGAGAAAAGAAGGGACTGGGGACAAGACACAGTCCCCAAGGACATGCTCCCAAGGATTTACACCCTTCCACCAGGTCCCACTTACTGCAGTTTCCACCACTTCTCAAATAGTGTGTTCAGCTCTAAATTCATTAGTCCATTGGTGAAGTGAGAGCCCTTATGGTCCAATCACTTCCCAAAGGCTCCATCTCTGAACACCGCTGCACTGGGGACTCTGGCTTTAACACATGAGCCTTTGGGAGAAAGTCCATTTCCAGCCCATAATAGATTCAAGTATGAAGGGCCAGACATAAGGTCCCAAGACTATGTGGTGTGCAAGGACAAGGTGTGTCAGTCATGGCCGGGAGGAATGTTCATGCGGAGGCGATGTTTTGGACTCAGACATTCATAAGTTGGATCTACCTTTGTTTACCAGCCAAGAGATCTTCAGATAATGAACCATGAAAGCTGGCTATGCAGAGGTACTAATGCAGTAATTTTTTATTTGCCACTAGTCAGCTTCAAGGATCAAGGACAGCTAAACACATAACCCACTCACACGTGTTATTTTAAAAGCATATTTTAAAGTTATAAATATGGCACATTGAGCTAATGAGGTGTGTTCTTTCAGTGACAAATATTTACATTCCACATATGCCTCTCCATGTCAAGAGTGTAACTGTTGGATTTTCTTCTTTTTCTCAGGAGGCTGGGATGCAGATGGAAAAGGCCCTTGTGTCTGGGACACATTCACCCATCAGGGAGGAGAGAGAGTTTTCAAGAACCAGACTGGCGATGTAGCTTGTGGCAGCTACACTCTGTGGGAGGAAGATCTGAAATGTATCAAACAGCTTGGATTGACTCATTACCGCTTCTCTCTTTCCTGGTCACGTCTGTTACCTGATGGGACGACAGGTTTCATCAACCAGAAAGGCAAGTGTTTCTTAAAAATAGAAGGTTGCAGCTTTAATTCAAGGTTATTGCTGCAGCCTGGCATAATTAATCCAGTATGCTATTCTGCAGTGTAGCTTTGAAATTGCAAGTTTTCAGAGTGATTATAGGCTAAATTTTGGGAAATGGTTTTGCATGAGCTTTCTCAGTAATATTTTGGTTTTCCTTCACTGTTGAGCTCTTTCTTGGGGGAGGGAGGTTGAAATAAGCGTTTTACTTATGTAAGATGTTATCCGAGTGTTAACCTGAAGGTGAATTTTGAAATTTTGTTGTATTGAACTATTTTCAGTTATGTAGCCCTGTGAGAAGTTATGAGAAGCCCTGAAGAACCTACGATGATTCTGAGCATGTTAATTGAAGCTGAATTAGTGGAACTAATTAACCAGCATAGGGATTAGTATCAAGGGCCCGGGAGTCCATTTATTGTTATGAAGTACCAGCTACGTCACTTACTATGGGTACAAGTATCTCTTGGGCACCCCTTAGTGCCTCAGTTTCCCCAAGAGTAGAAAAGTACACTCTTACAGTTTGCACTTTACAGAGAGTTGTTGGAAGATTGAATGAAAAAATAGATTGCAAAGTACTTAACACACATAAACATCAAATAAATGTTAGCTTTTTATTTTTATTATGCCTTGTAATTAAAAGGATCATTCCCTGTCTTAGTGAATGCCTATTGTTGATTAGGCATTTCTAGACTCATTTTTCTCGAATTCTCACCACCAATAAGAAAGGTATAATGATATCTGACAGAGGTGTATGTCCAATTGACATTTTGGGAAAGTGGTAGATTTGAAATCTAAACCTAAGCTCTGGCTAAGCCCCTTCCACCTAACAGGACCGGAAAATAATGACCCGAGGGCCAAATCTGGTTTGCCACCTGTTTTCTTAAATAAAGTTGTATTGGAGCAGGGCCATGCCCATTCATCACACATCCTCTATGGTTGCTTTCTCACTCTGATGGCAGGATTGAGTAGTTGTGGCAGAGACCATATGGCCCGCAAAGCCTAAAGTCTTTACTCTCTGGTCCTTTATAGGAAAAGTTTGCCAACCCCTGCATTACAACATATGGCTTCTTAATAATGATCCTTTATTACTACTTCCTCCTGGAAAAGATTTTGCATTGCTCATTGGCTGAGACTGGGGGAACAAGTGAGGGGCCACCAGTGGAAGTTTAACAAGAGTCTCTGAATGCAGGGTAGGAAGGTGGATGGCTCCAGGGTGAGGGCACCTTGGTGGCCCACACTTCCCACACCTGCGCCTTCGCTGATAGCCTGGGATTCTTTATGAGCTGGTTGTGAGATCCCCACACACAACAACCCACGATGACAAATCCTAGGTGGCCGTGAGCACCTGCAGTGCTCATTTCATGTAAGTAGGCGTGATCTCCTCATGGGACATGGAGCCACCACTTATGGGCCCACATGAAGCTCTGGCCTTTGGGCAGCCTCCCGCAAATAGGGACAGTGCAGGGTCAGCAGGCTCATTGCTTGGTTCTGAAGACACCGGCCCCTGAATGATTGCTGTTGGTTGAATGTGTACTTTCCTGACATCTGTGGTTCATTTTGTTTTTGACTTTGAACAAGTGGTAATTTGTTGTTCCTTTTAAAAGTGAACTCATCATTTTCTGCCTTCCTAATTCAACTTCTGTACCCTTTCTTCGGTACTACTGTACCCCAAGGTCTAAAGAACAAAAAGTAATCTTTGAATTCTCTCATTTTTTGTTTCCAATATCTAATTGGCTGCCAAACAAGGTCCATTCTCCTTGTGCCACTTATTCTCTCCCCTCCTAACTCCCCCTCTGCCCTGGATTAGGTGTTTATCATTTCCACCAAAGGCTTTTTGATAGACCCTGATGGGTCTACCTACTTTCCCTCTGTTTGTTCTTTGATTCTTCCTATAAAATACTACTACTGCCATTTTCCTAAAGCTTGGTCTAAGTCATATTAGTCTGGATCATTTCTTTCTGAAAAAAGGCAAAATAAAAAACTTTCAGCCATCTCAAACCTCAATATCCAGTCTCCTTTCTATATCATATCAAGTTCTATTAGACTTAGTCTTCGCCCACTCCCACAGCTTTGCAAGCTGTTTCCCCTTGCCTGTGTTCCACGTGATTCCCCCACATCATCTCCCTAGCACACATCCCAATCCTTATTTAACATACTTTGCACTTTTCTGCTTTCGTAGGACTTTGCTGACACTCTTCCTTCTGCCTGGAATGGCCTTTCCCTGACCCCCAGCTGCACCCGCTGAAGGCCTAGCCTGCTGCTTAGGCCTAAAAGCCTAGCACAAATACTTCATCTTTAAAGTCTTCTTCTGTTCCAAGCCACGATATATATATATATATATATATATATGTAAATTTTTTTCTGTTCCCATAGCACTTTGCAAAGCTGTTAAGGTGTTTGTCACACTCTTCATTGTTACCATTTTTATACCCACTGTTTGTTTCTCAGTACCTTGAGTTTATTTCCATTCATCCAAAGTGTCTACTGTGCATCAGAGACTGGGCTAGGTGCTCACAATGCAGATCTAAGGGAATCCCTTGAGTTGCTTACAGTGTACTGTGCAGATAATTCTGCCCTGCACACTCCTGTAACTTAGTCCAGTGCCTTATAGTGAGGAATTCAATAAACGGTTACTAAATTTAATTGAATTAGGTCAATAGCAATGGTAAAAATCACCACTGAGGAATCTTTGCTTTTTATTGAACATGTAGGATGTACAGCTTGCTGTGCCCAACATTGTACTTACTTTGGCAAATTTAATGCTCATAAGTGCCCTCTGAGTAAAGAGCCTCTTAAAACAGAGGGCATAATGTTAACGTGGGGGTAGGCTGAATATAAAACTTCCAAGATGGCAAATTTAGTTAGGACTGAGATCAACCTATGTCTGTCTAACATCAAAACCCAGCCTTCAGCTTAGAGTTCACTTACAGGCTCATCAAAGTACTTGGTGCTCTGCTTCCCTGTTGGTAAAAGGAAATGGACACTCTGTGTCACTAAGATTCTTTCCACTGATTCTAGGGGTCTGTTTTCCTGTGCCCCCATTTGGATGGTGAACAACAAAATATTCCTACTACCACTTAACTGCTACTAGTACTATTACCTCTAATCACAATCCCCATCAATGTGTTATACTGGTCCACAATCCCACAATTCCTTGTGTGAAATTCTAAATTCTAAATTCTAAAAGATTCCAAGGATTTTTCTAAGGCTAAAGTAGTACCACCAGCTGACCTAAAAATGGATGTAAAAAATGTTTTTTTTTTCCATGATCTTATTTTATTCTATTTCATGAGTTTATTTATGTATTTTGCTGCAGAAATATTAAGGAATATTGACTCAGCCCCACTTGTGGTGATAATTTAATATATGATATATGCTCTGTGTTTCTTTTTTAAAATAAAAAAATTCTAAACACCTTTCTTTCCAAAATTTTTAGATGAAGGATTATAGACTTCTCCCAATATGTCAACATAGCAAGCTTTTTAGAGCCAAGTTAAGATATACAGAAGTCCATGGGGACACACTGTAGGTCACCAGTCTAAGATCAGGGAAGCAGAAAAACTGGGGCAGGAAGGTGGTGGAGGTGTGGCGCTGGACTCCTTGGAGTCACCCAAACAGCACCGGGAAGTCACTCACGCCAAGCTCACGCGGCCGGCTCGTGCCTGCAGAATCAAGCTTTTTGCATTTGGCCCCAGCTTTTGTAAAGCCACAGTTGATTGATATTACAGACTTTTCCCTGAACAAGAGGGCACTGGAGGTGTTTCCAGGAGGCAGAATTTCAATAAGCAGTTGCTCATTCTTGTGCAGTGATCTGTTGAAGCGATTGGAACTGTTTTAACTCAGGAAGGCCATCGTTTGTTTTTTTTTTTCCATTTAAACATTTTCTCAAAAAGCGTGGAAAGAATTAGAAAATCCCTGTCCCTGTCCTTTTCAAGGAATCCTCACCCCCATTGTGTGTGGGTTTGACTACCCAGTTTAAAGCTTGATTATGGGACATTTGGAACCTTATAAAATTCTATATCCCCAAACTGGAAGAATATCTTACAAAGTGGAATTGTTACATAGCCTTTCTCTTTCAAATGTCAAGTTTTCAAGGCTTAACAAGAAGAGATTGAGCTGGCAACTCAAATCACATATTTCTGTATTTCTCAACTGTCCAAGTACATTTTCATATCTGCCTTGAAAGTAAGTTTCGGGTGATTAGTAGGAGACCCAAGTATTGGAATGGAAAAAAAGACAAAAAGGGAATATTTATGCAGAATTTCTTGTTCATGTTAAAATTTAAAATAGAAGAGCACTTCATGGGAATGATTTAATTAACTAAACAAACATTAACCTCATATTCTATGTTGAACCCTATATTAGGCTGAATAATGATCTCCCTAAACATGTCCTTGTCTTGAATATTAGGAACTGAGAATATATTAGATTAACTATAAAAGGAATTCTACAGATTAAATTAAGGATCTCCAGATGACATGACCCTGGGTCATCTGTGTGGTCCCATTGTGATCACAGGGGCCCCTTACAAGAGAGAGGAAAAAGGATTAGTGCCAGGGAGAGGAGATAAGAAGACAGAAGCAGAGGACTGAAGGGAAGAATGAGGATGAAGTTGGAAGCATGGGCCCCGAGGGAGAGCATTCAGGGGGCATCCCATCCTGGAAAAGGCAAGGAAGTGGATTCTCCTCGACAGCCTCCAGAAGGAGTGGCTACATCATGATTTCAATCGGAATTCTCACCTTCAGAGCTATAAAATGATGAATTTGTGGTGGTTTTGTCCTCTTAAGTTTATGGTAACTTGTTACAGCAGCAATAGCTAACTAATACAGGCAGTGTGACAAGAGAACCTATTAAAGAAATTAATTGGTAAGAATTGTGTGAGAGGTGTGACCCAAAGTGAGCTATGTGTATTTGACGTATTAGACACAAGATCAAAATGAATTCTTGTTACAGTATTTATAGTTTTGTTGCTGTTGCTGTTGTTTTAATCTGGAAGCATCATTTTTGCAAGATCCAGTCACCTCCTTTTAGAAGATATTCGCACCTTTCTTTGTACTCTATAATTCTGCTCCACTCCCAGACACAGTTGATAGGACAGAGGAAAGCCTTCATCCCCTGTGATATCTGACTCCTGTGACCTTGTTGAAAACATTGAGTTTTCCCCGTAGTATTCCTCTCTCAACCGTGTTTGCAATGCAGACACTGAGGGTCGGAGTTGGTTGGTGGAGGGCACCAGGGCTTTTGCAGATGGTGTGGCCATTTTGAGACCACAGAAAATTGGGCACATGTAGAATATTGGTTCTGAAAGAAAGAGGGCAATGGAGCAAGTGCAAGGAGAGACCATTTCCCCCGCTGGACAAGACATAGGATTTCTCAGCTTCTAACTTCAATTCCCTTGATCCCAGCTGTAGTTATTTATTTCTTTACTTTCCTGTTGTTGGGTGCCTGATAACTCCCTGTCATTTAAAATAATACCCAGCATACTTCACCTCCACCACCCAACTGCCCCCAGTACCACCTTGATATTTTAGTTAGTCTGGGCTGGCTTATTTTCTTATATTTAGGGAATTTTAACTCAAATATACTTCATATTTTCCAAGGTCAAACAATCAGAAGTGGGCTGAATAAAGCAGAGACTGTGTTATTGGCTATGAAAGGTTACAGAAGTTCTAATTCTCAAAATCACCAACCCTGTTCTAAATATCTAGAAGCAGAGCAGGATCCAAATGACCCCCTAAAGTTTCAAGATCTCTAGATTGGTAATCGATGATCAGTGCAAAATTCATGCTTATTCAGGGAATGAGTTGTCACTGAATTGTATCTGTTTGATAAATAAAGCTGAATGTCTATTGACAATTTGGTCTCATTCACCAAGGTAGTCCTGAGGTGGTACTGTGGAAATTCCTTTTCACAGATGAGGAAACTTAGGTGTAGGGTGGCCGAGTGATTTATCCTGATCCTTTAACTAAATTGTATGAGTGTGGGGCTTGGCCATTAAAAACCCCACTCCAATGCTTCATGGAAAAATTTTGTTACAGTATTGAATAAACTGTACTAGTCAGAAATAAAGTTGCTCAGATCTGGGGTATTAAATATTAATTATGCAATACTCTGTTACTTGAACAATTGATCTATTTTCAATACAACTCATGATTTTTCGTGTTGTTTGCATTACATTCATTGACCATCATTAATGATTCCTCCTAAAGGAAAAATAGAAAAGACCTGGTATTGTGATCAGGTCTGTGATAGGCGAATATTAAGCTTAGTGAAACTGTCACATTTTCTGGCTCTGGAACATTAGTAAAAATGAAAAGTGTTATATTGTATGCAGTCTTTGTAGTGAGACAAATTGGGATTAAATGTTGGTAGTTCCATTTGACAACACTGAGACTTCTCTGAACATCAGTTTTCTCTTAAATTTAATAGTAGTAAAAGTATCCATATCTTGGACTTAGTGCTAGGATAAAGCAAAAACATGACATCTGGTATATATAGCATGAATTCAGTAAGGGAATGCTAACATTATTTTTTGATTAAAGCCATTGAACAGAGTTGACTAAAAAATCTTGCATTAACAATACCAAGATAATTCCATCCTATCAGTTTTGATATTCCCATTTACAAATGAGGAAATGTGGCCTCACAGGGGCACAGAGATGGGTTCCTGAAATGCTTTCATCAAGAGAGAAAAGAAAAGCTTTATAAATTTTGGTGAGTGTATTAGTTTTCTATTGCTACTGCCCTGAACGACCAGAAACATGGCTACTTGCATATGCTACCTTAGAGTTCTGTGGGCCAGGCGTCTGAAATCCAGATGCCAGCAAGGCAACATTTATTTCTGAAGCCTATGTGGGAGTTGGGTCTTGGTTCATTCCTGTGGTTGTAGGTCCTTGGGGACTCTCACCTGAAGACCACTGCAGCTTCTAGAGGCCTCCTGCATTTCTGGGCTCAGTGATCTCCTTTCTTCATCTTCTAAGCCAGCAATGGCAGGTTGAATCCCTCTCAAGCTACCATCCTCTCTTCTCTTGTTGGTTCGTATCTCTGACGGACCTCTATTCCTAGGATTCATGTGGTTATGTGGGGTCCTCCTGAACAAACTAGAGACATCTTCCCATCTCAAGGTCCTTACCTTAGTCACATTAGCAAAATCTCTTTTTGCTACGTAAGATAACATATTCATTCACTCCATGGTTTGGGGCACAGGCATCTTTGGGAGGAGAAGGAGTTATTCTGCTTACTAAGTGAGAAATAGCATAGAAATGCATCTCCCAAATATGCAGCTGTGATACGTGATTCACACAGTGTTCCAGTTTGCTAAATAATGAGTTATTGTTAATAATATCACTTAGGCAGAGAGCCAGCATGAGACTGTGCATAACGTGGCTTCTGGTGACCGTGCTAACCTCTCCCCCACTCTCATTTCTGGTGGGCTGTACATTCACCTTATACTGAACTTACTGCCTGAAAGAGTCATACTCTTCTAAGAGAATGACAAATGATGACCAGACAAAATAGCTATAATTCTATATGAAAATAAAACTCTGACCTACGTAAGAAACACCAGAAGCAAAATCACATCTCTGAAGCCATCAGCCAAGAATAGTCAGGACTTGGTCAGCAGCTTGTGTGTTTGTTTGTCCCACTATCACCGCCCTGCTTCCCACTCAGTGCCAATCAGAGGAAGCCAAATACCTTCCCCAAACCAACCACATGGGACACCCTGCTTCTATTTAGCCTTCCTCCTGCTTCCTTGTGCCAGTAACCAGTAACCTGAAGACTTCTCCTTTAAAAACAAACAAAACACCAAACTCTATACAGCTTTTCTTCTTTTCTTTTCATTCTTCTCCTCCCTGCCACTTCTTCTTCTTTTTGTACTGGGAATTGAATCCAAGACGCTTAACGACTGAGCCGCATCCCCAAACCTTTTTAAATTTTTTACTTAGAGACAGGGTCTCACTGAGTTGCTCAGTGCCTTGCTAAGTTTGCGGAGGCTAGTTTTGTACTCGAGATCCTCCTGCCTCAGCCCCAAGCCTCTGAGATTGCAGGTGCACTATTGCACCAGGCTGTGTTTCCTTTTTTTTTTGTTGGCTTTTGAGTCCCTCCAATTGCAGATGATGTTTGCTGACTCCCCAGCTATAGAAAACTAAATATCCTACTTTTCTCATTTGGGTGTTTTATTTCTATATCTCCTTTGGTCTTTGGCACATTCCTTTCCCCTTTTCTCTTCCTGGATATCTTCTGTGGGTGATTTATAGTCACCTTTTTAGTATTGGCTTGGTTGTCACTAATAACAATAACAATAAAAATTATTTCTAGAATAATAGCTCACCTGTACTAGATCCTTACCAGATGATAAGAACTGTTCTAAGCATGTTCAATTTATCCACTCATGCAACTGTCATCATAATTCATTGAAATAGGTTTCTATTATTAACTATACTTCACAGAGAGGTAAGATAATTCAGAGAAATCAAGTAACTTGCCTAATGTCACAGAGCAACCAGGTGAAGGAGCTAGGACAGCATTTAGTTAGCCTGGCACTATTGTTCACTCTGGAGAGTCATTATGCACATTAAGTTTTCAAATGCTCCAAGTGTAGCCTGGGTACCCTTTACCACATTTTAAATTAAGGCTCTATATTTTATCTTTACTAGTAGTACTGTGTTGCACTGGTTTATAAGTTTATCTCTCGTCCCTCCTGATAAGTTTCCTGAGGAGGAGGATGGTGTTTACCTTGTTCATGTTTATATGTCCAGCATATAATAATTTCTCCATCAGATTAGAGTTAAACATTTAACAAATGAATGACTGGATTGATGACACAATGCCAAAGTCTGAATTAATTTTTTTTTTTTTAAATTGGAGGATCCTAAGCTATGGGGGGGGGGCAGGAGAGGGAACCAGTCTTTTAGGTAAACTTTTAACATACATAATTCTGTGCATGATTTTATATCTCTGTTCAGTCAACAACCTCTTCAAACAGCACAGCTGCTCTCTTCCAAGGTTCATTTTCCTCCATACTCTTACACGCAAAACCACGTGTAGCACTGACATCTATCTGTACTGGAAAATCTCCTCCCAGGTGAGGGTCATCATGAGGCTAGACCAATATCTTCCTGACTGTGGGTCCTGAGGCAGAGCCTCTTCAACTTAATAACGTCCTTCTGAACTTGGCAACAGTCCTGAAAGCATTCTCCCACACAAGCTGTCCGGGGAGGATCAGCTGAAACCCAGTCTGGCTATGTATTTCCATGCACCCTGTCAGAAATTTAGAGCAAACCCCAGCCAGGCCCTCACAATGTCCTGAGCCTCTGACTCTGCTTGGAACGTTCATTCTGGGGAGAGATGCTGTTCAGGCTCAGTAGTTTTTCTTTCTTAGACTCGTGAAGCTAATAGGTCTGGAAAAGCATTAAATCAGCCATCTGAATCAATTCCTTTACTTTCTATCCAATACTTCCGATATTCATTCATTCCACAAACATTTATTACCTATTAAATTTCTGGTACTATCCCAGGATTTGGGAATCCAGAGCTGAATTAGAAAGTCAAGATTCCTGCTGTCCTGGGGCATCTATTCTAGTGGGTTTAATAGGTAAAGTTTGACATACAAAGAATCAAATCAAACAATTTTAGTAAGTGTGACAATAACACAATCTTGGATGAGAGTGACTTGCCCAAATGTATCTAGTTTCAGAATAAGTGTCTTTCCATGATGTCACCCCATCACATTCCCTCTCCCCCATCAGCCAGTCTTTTCTGGGATTTCCACGTTTTCTTCTAGCTTCTCAATGATTATACTGTGGGAAGTAATAAACCTCATTGAATAAGAAATCCTCTTGATCCTTTCTTGCTTAAAATTCATAGCCAACATGCTAAAAACAATTTCTTACTTCTTTTTTTTCCTCCTCTCTCTTAGGAATTGACTACTACAACAAGATCATTGACGATTTGTTGACAAATGGGGTTACACCCATAGTGACCATCTACCACTTTGATCTGCCTCAGGCTTTAGAAGACCAAGGAGGTTGGCTGTCAGAGGCAATCATTGAAGCCTTTGACAGATATGCTCGGTTTTGTTTCAGGACCTTTGGGGATCGAGTCAAGCATTGGATCACCATAAATGAGCCTAACATTCTTGCTGTGCTGGCATATGACATGGGCAGTTTTGCTCCTGGTATACCTCACTTTGGGCCTGCAGGTTATCAGGCAGCTCATAATTTGATTAAGGCTCATGCCAGAGCCTGGCACAGCTATGATTCCTTATTCCGAAAAGAGCAGAAGGGTAAGGTGTCTCTATCATTGTTTTTTGTCTGGTTGGAACCCGGAGATCCCAACTCAGTGGCTGACCAGGAGGCTGTTAAAAGAGCATCTGCTTTTGCATTAGATTTCTTTGCTAAACCTATATTCATTGATGGTGATTATCCTGATCTTGTCAAGTCCCACATTGCATCCATGAGTAAAAAGCAAGGGTTTCCATCATCGAAGCTTCCAGAATTTACCGAGGAAGAGAAGAAAATGATCAAAGGCACTGCTGATTTCTTTGCTGTGCAATACTATACAACTCGGCTCATCAAGCACCCAGAGATTAAGAAAGGAGAACAAGAAAAACTGGACTTCTGGCAGGATTTGCAGGTTGATAGTTTTCCAGATCCATCTTGGGAAGGTGTTGACTGGGTCTATGTGGTGCCGTGGGGAATACGTAAATCACTGAAATACATTAAGGTAAATGCATGATTTGTTTCTGTCTGTGTGTACCCAAATATGTGAGGATGGCAATCAGGCATGTGTATGAGTGTATATGGAACTAAAAGTGGGTGATTTTAGTTAATATGATGTCCATTTGTTGTCCTGGGAAGAACAGATTGAGGAGTGAACTGGTGAGGGTTAAGTAGCTAGTAATGGGCTTAAAACCTGCAGTCAACTTCAGAATTTGTTGTTAAAGCTAGTAATGTCTGTAGCAGTAGCTTGCATGCATTTGTCCAGCTGGTGTCACAACAGTGATTATTAAAAGGGCATTTTAAGGAAAGATAGGGCTGGAGCCTTTCTGAGTCTCCATTCCACTGGATGACATCCAGGTGGCTGAAATTAAAATTTCAAGTTATCAGTTTTTAGGACTCCTCCTGTGGGGAGTAGGGAATATGGCTACCAGAGGGACTAAGGGGTTAAGGAGCAGTGACAATCAGCAGATGCTGATGGGAAGAAAGATATTTCTGTCTTCTCATTATAATAAGAGTCATTTGACTGTCTTCATGGACATTTGCACAGTTTTGCTTTTCCATTGTTAGTCATAAAAGGTCAGCGTGTGGAAAATTAAGTTAATAGGGTCAGTGCAATTTGATGAAAACTAGTTTTGGGGTTGTAGCTTCAAGAAGATTGAGGGTAATGCACCTGATTTTATGAGCTTTTTTTTTTTTTAAACATCTGTTTGGAATAAAACTTCTGCTCTCTTGTTCTAGGATACGTATAATAACCCTGTAATTTACATCACTGAGAATGGGTTTCCCCAGCGTGACCCCCCATCTCTTGATGACACTCAGCGTTGGGAGTATTTCAGACAGACATTTCAGGAAATGTTCAAAGGTACCATTTGAAATGATGAAAGATCAATTGTGCAAACTTAATATAATTTTCCCATGTGCTTATTTGCATTCAGCAAAGACCAATGATTTTGAAAGCTGAAATTCATGTAAATCAGTACAAAGCCATGTAATTAGGAGAGGGGAGAAAAAGTATTTAGGAAAGAGGAAGGTGGGGTTTGGTCTTCCATCAACCTCCTGAATTTGAATCAAGTAAAATGTCACTGTCTTCTGAATTTTGTGGCTCCTGGGTGAGGGTGACAAGAATAAAAGGAGTGGTGACTGGTGGGAAAGAACATTAATTATTACAAAAAGATTAGCACCACCGACTACAACACACTTTTTTAATTGCATATCTTAATATCCTAACTACCAAGAAATGAATGGACAGGATTTTTTAAGGATCCAAATTCAGTGTTTATGCAATAAACTTCAAAATGGCACGAGTCCTCCATCAGTGTATGTACCATTAACTTGTAACCAAGAAACCCAAAAAAGAAGAAGCTTTGGTCTTAGAAAATATGTGAATTGTGTTTCAGGTTAATATTATTATTCTGGAAACTCTGTCTTTCCATGTAATTCTTTTTGTATTTGCAAAGACATCAAAAGGAATCATATTTAGTAGGTAACCCATTTCTAGACCAGGCAGCCTCCCAGCTCCCTTCTTTAGCTTCCTCTTGGAATATTACTGCTTGGAACTGTTGCTTCATAAATTTTGTTCTTTCTCCCTATAAAGGAATCGTATCATAGCAGCAAAATACCATGCAAAAATGAGACTTCTAATTTTCTTTTTTTAAAAGCATAGTAGCCATACTCATTTTTCATCATTTTATTTGAAAGTCCCAGAATAATAACATTCTTTCCAAAAATTTTCACTATTATACTGAGAATAGAAAAAATTCTGGAAACTGATGGAAAGCAGTCTTTTTCTAAAATATGTTGACTGGATCTCTTGCTCAGGCCTTGAGTTTATTGACAGAGGCAATTGGATTCCTACAATTTGATCCAAGCAAAATAATTATTTTGTATTACACACAAAATAGATTCTTCCTTTGGTTGACCTTCATTTTTTGATAAGAGGGAAATCTCTTATTCTCTGAGGTTTCTCCCCACTTTTCCCTGTAAATGGATTCTATTCATAGTTAACCCATTGAAGCGCCTGAATTTCATCCTGAAGGACAGGTAGACATCCAAGCAGATTTACTGATGGATTTAGGGAGCATAAATGATTTGTCTAAGATTAGTCTGGGTACATTTGGAAAAGGAGAGAAAAATAGAAATTGTCTTTTTTAAAAATTTCTAGCTTGGTGCTCTGTTTACTGCTAATCATTTCATAGATATATAAAATAATTTTAAGTATTTCTAATGCTAAAATCTTAGGGTTGGACCCTAAAACTCAGATGATTTAAAGATAGAAAAATATCAGAAGAGTGGAAACTGAGAATTTGAGTTTCAAAGGGTCAGGAGAGGGAAGAAGGTTGACCAACAAAATCCTGTTTTCAACATGTACATATCATATCATATTTGGTCTTTAAATTATCTAGTGGAAAAAAACCCAGAAGATTTCTTAATTACAGTGGTTCAACTTGTGATTTTTCTACTTCGTGATGGTGTGAAATAGGTTCACATGTAATAGAAACTAAACGTGGAAGTTTGAATTTTGATCTTTTTCTGGATTGGTTTCATACTATACTAGAAAGCATGTAATCATTCTCTTGTGATGCTGGACTTACAGCCATAGCTCCCAGTCAGCTTTGAAACCACAAGGGTGAACAATCGAGACTATAGTGTACCATGCTGCTGTGCTGGGATGGTCAGGGGGCTGGGTGTATTAAATGCAGTTTTGACATAATGATGAGTTTATTAGGACATGAATACATAATAAGTTGAGGAGCCACTATATCATGCATTTGAAACATCATTTTCTTAGCACTTACATTCTCTTTGAATTTTAACAATAAGCAGTATTCTTTGCAACTAATGCATAATATCATTTTTGTTTTGATTTTTTTAAAAAAACATATAGTCTTTTAAGATGTGCAGAAATCTACAAACTGACAAAAAATTCGATAAATAAGTGTATCTGTCACTAGGTATATGGATAGATATTTTTTCATAGATTTTTGTAGGTAGTGAATCCTTTTGTGATAAAACTCTCTTTGCTAATAACAAAATCCCTTCTTTTGTGTGAACCATCTCTCTCCCCCTATCCTCATGATTACCACAGCCACAGCCTGGCAAGGGAGATCAAAGGCTGTTCCTCTCAACAGAGAATTGACTGGTCTAACTACAGGCATGTGACATGGACTGAGCCAATCTCTGCCTGAGACTTAGAACTTGGGCCAGTCACTTGGAATGCTTCTTAAACTGTGCAACTTTGTGAGCCATTGGTGGCTTTACTTTGCCATATAAATTTCCGAGCAGCAGGAAGCGGAGATGCTCAGGCATTAATTAAGGAAGTGGAGACAAGAAACAGGGATAATTTTCTAATGGCTCTTGAGCTTCTGATTCCAGTTTTTCCTGAAGTCCAGCAGCATTCATGTTCTTTTTTTAAAAATAAATTTTATTTAGTTGTTGATGGATCTTTTTTTTTTTTTTAGTTGTTGATGGATCAAGAAATTACTAAGTAATATTTACTGGAAAAAGATAGAACTGGTATGTCATTAATACTATTGTTGATTATCTTGGTATCAGATATGATGTGTTAAGTTCAGGGCTCTCTGAGTCAAAGTGCCTTTTTGTCTCTGCATAGAACTTCTTCATTTACTTTTGGCACTCTGGGCTTGCATATATTTGTTAAAAGTAGTTCTGCTGTCTCTGAAAAGGTAACAGGGTCTATGACCTTGGGCATTCTCAGACACCCCATGTACTACCTCTTATAAGAGGAACTGAGTTGAATTTACTGCTCCGTTTTCTGAGACTCCTTTGAGGTTGTGCTGATGATCGTTGTTGGCAAGAACCTTCCTGGTAAGAAGCATCCTGTGAGCAATTAAAAATGATAACAGACCAAGGAAGACATTTGTGGAAAGCACTGCAGGTGGAGCCCACCAGACCCAGGTGTCAGATGGATGATGGCTTTGTGATTCCCACAAACAGGACCTCCCTCCAACATGACGCACGTGGACGGGCACCTGATGGCACTATAGCTGGATCAATCATTGATCTGGAGGGCTCACTGATCTCTTCAGGTCAAATCTCATAGCAATTAGTCACGTAGTAAAAAGTAAGCTAATGTGTCTGTTTCCTTTTGGGAAAGAAGAAGAAAAATTAAAAAAATATATATATATATATATATATATAAAAGCTAGGGCCTTTTTAGCCTTGTGTTGTTTAATTGTATTTAAACATCTTTAAATAGGTTATATTTCATGATTGTAGATTCTGAGAAGAGTAAAGCAACAACAAAACCTTAAAATACCATATAACTAGGCTTGCATGCTAGTTCTGCAAATTTTTCAAAGAGGAGCTTTGGTAAGTTGCCTGACCCATCTAATCCTCTGTTTATGTTTAAATATGGGAATAATATTTCCCTTGGCAGGATTGTTGTAAAGATTGCATTTAATGAGTTATATATAACCCATGAGCTATTAACTGGTACATAGTAGTTAATAGCTCATGGGTTATATAGTAGTTCCTTAACAAATGGTAATTATTATTATTATTATTATTATAAAATGTGCTCAGTTAAAAATGTACCCACCATCTCCAAGTCAATTTCCTTGTTAGATTTGAAAAATGCTATTCAAAGACTGGTTATTCTTCTATCCTTCTTTTTTCCCCTTTGAAGCATGGCTGAATATTTCCCCAAAGCTGCATATTTTTCCAACAGTTTTTGAGGACCTTCTGGCATGTGTTTGAACACTGGCCTTTGGCCATTCCAGGCGGGGTGGTGTGGGGAAGAAGCCACAACTGTATTATTTCCATCCGAGAGGTTCCCAGATGAGGTGAACAAGCAAATCACCAACAGTAGAATGAGCTGTCACGCACCTGGGGATTGCCCCGCCACATGGACTTTTGAATGTCTGGCATTCTTTGATCCTGAAATAGTTAAGCTTTCCTCCCATCATATGAATCTTTATGACATTCATAAAATTAACAGCAGCGCTCAGACTTCAGGGCAGTGGCAGTGAGTTCAAATGTACACACACACACACACACACACACACACGGATGTGTTGTTGTGGGGGTCAGAAAGTAAGGGATGCCAGGGAAGTTGCTCCCAAAGGGCAAGACTCCACCTACGACATAAATCCTCCTGGAAAGGGGGTCCACCCTGTGTCCAGCCTGTACCACCTCCATGTCCAGCGTGTCTGCCTTTGGCTTATCTTCTGATCTTTCTTCAACCTGGAATTCCATGATCTTTCCTTTTCCTTGGGCCAATTCTGTTTTTTGGAGCAGATGAATGTGCCAGCCAAGGTAAGGGTTTGGGATCTGGTCCTGACAGTTATGCTCTCATTGACTTTGGGGAAAACCTTAAGCAGACAAAGCTTTAGTCACCTAATTTCTAAAAACAGGGTTAATTATGAGCACCTGTCTTCTAAAGGGTGGTAAAAAATGAACCTGATAATGTTTAGAACACCTAAAGAGGGTCTGGCACATTACTAAGGATTCTGTAAATGATGGTTAATTTTTTTCTGGGGGCCCCACGAATCCTCTAAGGGCTGGAGTTGTGCTTTTCATAATTAGCTCTTCAGCCCTGAGTGCTGAGCCTGTTATATTGTAGTGTTCTACACATGTTTACTGAATATGGTTGTCTATCAGGGAAGGGTTAGACCATAGGTAATGAGAAATAAATGATGAAATGATTGGGAACTCTATTTTCTTTCCCTAAAGAAATATACCCCACACAGGGGGAAAAAAAAAGCAGCCTTCTGGAAAGTTTCTGAGCCAGCCCAACTTTCTAGTCAGATCCATGCCTGAGTTAGCACAGCGGTGGATGATTGCAGAGAAGGTTTGTTAATGACCAGCTTTAGGCTTTTAATGACAAAACCCCTCAGCAAGATG